CCCCCAAGACTCACGTGGCGGGAGGAGAGAACTGCTTCCTTCTGTGGTCCTCTGACCTCCACACACGGCACACACACACAAAACAAAAAAATAAAGGTAAAGGATTCTACACGTGGGAGAACCCTCTCGTGTTCATGGCCTTCCTAGGCTTAGTTAGGTTCACATCCTTGTTTCCTCCTCATTCAATTCAACTGAGTCACAGCACGTGACTTCAGGACACTTAGGGTGGCCTGTATCCATTTCTCCCCTTCACACCTTTGTGCCACTGAGATCACACCTTCTACTTAGTATCTGCTATGAAGTCCACATAGTCACTGTTAATTTAAAACAGTTGTTGTCTTTTAAGGGAATTTCATTTTTTTTTTTAAATAACATATACTTATCTCTTTTGCTATTCTTTCTAGTGATTTTCATTCCTGGATAGATATGTATTTTCAGAAGTCTGGGCTCATTTTCTTTGAGGGATTTCTTGAACTTTCCTGCGTGAGTCTGTTCGCTATGAATTCTTTCAGCTTTTATGTCTCTGTGTTCATGGAACGTGTGAGATTTGAGTTTGGCTTTCTTCAGATTTGGGGCAGGGTCCAGCACCGTCGCTGTAAATGTCGTCTCTGGTCCCCTTCCCTGTGTCGTCTTGTGATGGGGATCTAACTGTAGATATCCCCTCTTTAATCTTCTTTTCTTAATTTTAATTCCTTTTTCTCCACGTAGTTCATTTTAGGAAGTGTCTCCTCTCTAAGTACCTGCTAATCCAAGTCATTGCTATTTGCCCTGTTTCCATTCTAAAAGTTAGATGCTGAAATGTATTCCTTCCTTATTTCTACTGAAAATTTTATCTCCGTTACCTTTATAAACTGTCTTAATATCCTATTCCGTTAATTCTAACATCTGTGCCAGCATGGCTCTGTGTCAGTGATTGACTTTTCTCATCATCGTGAGTTATACTTTTGTTTCTTTTGCATGTCTTATAATACTGGATTTCAGATATTTAATATTGACTATTGAATGTTGGCTATTGTAAATTTTGTTTTTGTGTGTGCTAGCTATTTATATCTTCATATAATTGTGCTTGAATTTAGTGGGCTATGGAGGTGAACAATGGAAGGCAGCTTGTTCTTTCACACCAAACTACTATGATTTGGTTTTTGGGTTTTTTTTTTCCTTTTTCGTTCCTTTTTTTTTTTCTTTTTTTTTTTTTTTTTTTTTTTTTTTTTTTTTTTTATAGGGTTTCTCTGTGTAGCTTTGGTGCCTGTCCTGGAACTCACTCTGTAGCCCAGGGTAGCCTCGAACTCACAGAGATCTGCCGGCTTCTGCCTCCCGAGTGCTGGGATTAAAGGCGTGTGCCACCACTGCCCGGCCTATGATTTGTTTTTTAAAAATTAGAACCAAACAGCATTTAGGTCAGGACTAACTCCTCCCTAGAACTAAGGCAGGACTGTTCCGAGTCTCTGCCCAGCTGAGCAGAGAGGTTTCTAGGTGGGCCGACAGAGCCGCCACTGTTCCTGGCTCTCTGAGTGTCCACTATGTCTGTGATGCTTTCAGTTGCTTGTTCAGTCCGGGCCCTCACAGTCTCCTCACAGGCTTGTATCATCGGTACTGTGAAGTTCTCCAGGACCTCTGGGGCTCTCTGTGCAGTTAACTGGCTCTCGTGCTTTGTCCTGTGAGCTCCACATTCTCCCCAATTGATGCTTCTACTTCCTCGACTCCAGGAGTGTGCTTGAATGTCCCTACTGGCCTGTGAGGTCTCAGAGCTCAGTAAGCTGGTGTAAACCCTGCTTGGTTTTCTTCTCTGAAGGACTGGGTGCCTTCATTGCCTGATGTTAGCATCTTGGAAACTATTAGTTTAGATATATTATCTGGTCTTTTTCTGGTTGGCTCATGCAGGAGGGGCAACCTGGTCCTTGTTACCCTATAGTAGCTAGATTCAGAAGCTCCCAAAGCTCCACTTTTAAGGGCCACCTTGCATTTTGATAAGAGGAAAAATTCTAGGGTTTGTGCCTCATAGCCCTTCTACACTCACGCTCTAAACGAAGGTGACTGCTGTTAGGTTTGCTTGTTGAATACTTCTTAAACCTCCAGAACATTGTAACAGTTTGTTGTTAATAGTGATTTATAGATTATTTGGACCAGGCGTCCTTCAGAGCCCAGGAGACTCCTTGTAAAATCCCAGTGACATTTTCAAAGCACAGGGGGCCACTGACAGGTTGCAAACCAGTTTTCACTCTTGCTTGGTAGCTGGCTCCACTTCTGTTGTGTGGGTGAGACTGCAGTTAAGCAAATGTACTAACCACCGTAACAGTGTGTAGTGCTTCCTAAAAGAGGAACTGTAAATTGAACGTTCATCTCTGGAATGGTCAAAACCGTCCTGGTCCAACTCTGAGACGTCTTATGTGATTTGTACTTTAGCCTTGAGGATTTCGTTGAAATTGAAAGAGGAAGCCATCAGTATCTTACTTGCATGGGGGAATAAAAAGATCAGAAGTTGAATTACAGCAAGGGAAAACAAGAGCTTGGAGAATGTTGACAATAAACATAGACTGACCCACACTTTTTAAGAATCTCTCATGGCTACGTCACTTGTTCGGGTAATGGAGAGAAAGAGTTATCCACTCTTTCCTTCTTTGCTGGGTGAGCTGCACACCTTTAATCCCAGCACTCGGGAGGCAGAGGCAGGCAGATCTCTGAATTTGAGACCAGCCTGGTTCCAGGACAGCCAGGGTTATGTAGAGAGACCCTGTCTCAAAACAAACAAACAAACAAACAAACAAACAAACAAACAAACAAACAAACACTAAAGAAAACCCAAGCTATTTTTCTTTTTTGTGCTCTGGTCATCGGATCCAGGGCATTGCACGCTACCACTGAGGTCTATATATATCCATAGCTCCTGCTTTTTATTTTTTTTTAATTATCTCCATGAATCTCAAGGATTTATTCTTCAAAACAAGTCCGATTTAATAACTACCTATCGTTTCAATTTTACATGAGCCAAGCACATAATATTGCCACTCTTAGCTTTTGGTTAGTGTGATATGGCTAGTGTTTCAGTATCATACTATTTTAATAATGAAAACTAGAGAATCTTGTTGCTGGTAACTTGAAAAGCTGAATTGTAGTTGGATATCGAATTTTAGTTAGGTTTCTTGAGATACTGAAAACCAGATTTTTTGCCTGAATGTTCTGGGGTCTGGGGACATGGTGGTTTTGGAGATAATCGTTCTGAGTAACAGAACAGTAAAAGGCAGCTCAGCTAAGTACCATGTTGAAAACCATAGCAGTTACCATCCTAGGCCTGTGAGCTAGGTAATTGTATCAGGACAAAGAAGAGGCTGCTCCGGGCGGAGACAGCGTAGGACTGTTAGCTACGTGCTGTGGGTGTCTTCAAGGAGCCAGTCGTCAGTGACTGATGGATATACAAGAGGAAAGCTGGGGGGCTGCTAGAAAGTCGATTACGGTCTGAGTGAAGACCCTGAGTTCTCTGAATTTGTACTTTTTTCAAAGATGGCAGTGAAAATCAGGGAAAGTCATTGAAGAGACTCAGAGCCGGGTAAAGTCGAGGATCCAGGGACCTCTGTGGAGAAGATGGGACAAAGGTTTGCTCTTGGACAAGTGTGTCATTGTTATTATTACACACAGGAAATTCGGGAAACAGCCTGAATGGAGCGATGCCATGCCATAGATCCCGGAAGCAAACAGGTTTGGTTTGCGTGTGTTTTTAAGTCTCACTTATGTTATGAACACTGATGGTCCATTCCTTCTGTTCCTTCATAGAGTTGGGCCTACGAGGACAAACTCTGGAAGCTCATTTAGACAGTATGAAGCCACCTTCATTTTACTGATATGTAAATTGAGGGCTTTGTATTTTGTGACTTCCCTGTAGGACGCTGAGTGTGGCTGGCCTCTTGCATTCATTTCTGAAGTCCTCTACACAGTAGGGGTTACTGTGTGTCAGTTTCTACTTTTTTGGTAAAGTGAGTCCCGTTTTCCCTGCTTTTTTTTTTTTAATTGCTATCAATCAAATGAATTGATTCATGTCATTTTCAAACTTAGATAGATGCTTTCATAGTTAAAACAGTTCAAGGACCCTTGCTTTCTTCTTTCCATGTATCTAATCATAAAACCCTGAAGCAACACATTATAGACATTCATGTCCAAAAAAAGAGAAAAAGAAAGAAAGGAAAGACCTGGGGGAGGAGCACTGGGCTTGCCTTGCTTGCAGGAGGCCCTAGATTCTGAAAAATAAATGCAACTTACAGATCCTAATTGGCGTTTACTTTGCCGATCTAGACCTGAGCCACACTTACTGCATAAAAGGAGTGTTCATTCCAGTGAGCCCAGCAAAAGAGACTGTTTTTACAGCCAGAGCAGCCCTGAAAAGGGGGAATCGTAGAAAAAGGGGGTTCGTTATTAGTAAAGTTGCTTTCCTAATACGGTAGGGACAGGGAAGCTGAAAACAGAAAAGTAACTGATTGGTCAACAGCAGGTCACAACTAAAGGTTTAAATGAAGGATTCTTGGCCTATTCAGAAAATTTCTGTATCTTTCATTTTCCTGTCGGAGAAGGTGAGATAATTTTAGTGCCGTGGGACTTCAGTGAGTGCATTTTGATTTTCAGTCCAAACTGTTGGTGCCTAGTACAGGAGCTGAGTCTAAGACAGGTCTCCCGAAGGTCTTATTTATGCCAAATTTGGCTTGGGTTTGGCAGGTCTGCCCTCTTAAATGTTCCCGAGAGAGGGGAATGGTTATAATTTAAGCTGGGGTGAGGAGTCTTACCTGTGGTCGGTGCCCATAGCCGGGGTGAGGAGTCTTACCTGTGGTCGGTGCCCATAGCCGGGGTGAGGAGTCTTACCT